AGAGTTGGGGTCCTGGAGGACTCCTTCACATTCCTGGGGATCTTCTTGGCCATCATCCTGTTCCCCTTCGGGTTCATCTGCTGTTTCGCCTTAAGGAAGCGGAGATGCCCTAACTGCGGTGCCACCTTCTCGTAAAGGGAGGGCATGTCTCTGATGTAAATGTCGTGTACAATACTGCTTTATCCCACGAAGCTTCGGGACTGTGTCTCCAGGTGCGGTGGGCTGGGTGCCGGGGTCCCAGGCCTGGGGGTCAGAGCTGGAAACCCAGCGGGGTGGCAGTGCAAAGCCCTGCTGCTGGTTTTGGCAGCCCTGGGTTTGAGGAAGGGGAGGAACGCTGTTTTAATAAATGAATTCATACCATTGTCCACATGGTCTTGCTGTGTGCATGCACTTGGCCACTGTACAGCTTCCATTCTGGAACATTCCAAACATGAGGTGGGTCCTGAGATCACAGAGCAGCCAGCAGCTTCCGCCTCTTGGTTCAGTCTTGACTAAACACAAGTGATGTGAACCAGGTGTCCCATGTGGGCTCCCAGGAACTGTCAGGGATTGGAGCTGACAGCAGGGGGACCCTCAGAAGCACATGAACACAGAGAGGCCCCCAGACAGCCTGCTTTCAGGGGCTGGGCTGCTTGGGAGCCAAGATGCACCTCTCATCCACTCCTGGGGTGGCCTCCAGTCTGGCCAGGCTGACCCTCATTTTACAGCTTGACAAATAATGTTTGAATGGTTTTTATTCTAATGAAATATATACCTTCACATTTACAGAGCATGAGCACACCCCTCAGCGCAGTGGGCAGGTACCCCGGGGTCAGTCTGGGAGGTGGATGCTGGGCTTGGGTGAGTCCAGCCACATCTGCTGACCAGATACTTAATGAAGTCAGAAGACACTCCCCCCCCAAAAAGTGTCATTCTCGCCAGCACGCTCCCAGAGCACCTGCTCCAGGCAGGCACGTCACTGTGTTCTCCCAGGGGAGGTGGTTCATCCCAACAGGAAGGAGCCTGGAGACCACACCCCCGAGCTGCTGCATCTCACCTTGACCAATCTCAAGCCTCAGGGAAAAACTGAGCAACCTACGGGTCCTGCCTCCAGGAAGTGGTCCAGGTGTGGACGTCGCTGACAATCCTTTACTTAGAAAGCCCCGGCCGGCTCCTCACAGCCCAGCCCAGCAGACACTGCCCAGCTGTGCCCACCAGGCCGAGGCAAGCTGACCCTGCCCACCGTACAGAGAGATGTGCAGGCCCCCGGCCCCCACATGCTGTTCTTAGCAGCCAGTCCATGGATAACTCAAAGCCCTTGGGAATGTCTTAGCAGTAGGTGTGCTGTGACAGGCAGATAGCTAAGTTCCAAGAAAGTGGGGACTTTCTCATTTTGGGGAGCTCTGATTAGAATGAAAGTGATATTAAGTTAAAAATTATATTTTACAAAGTATCTTCATAATTTATATTGTTTAAGTTTGATTTGCATGCTCAGATGCAAACTTCCAAAATATCTTTAGACAAATACTGTGCTACGGGAGGGCTTGTGCTCACTAGGGGACACTATGGGCTCATTTGCACTCAGGTACAGAAAGCCAGCCAAGGAAGGAAATTGTCCCTTATTCTGGCGATTAACTTAAAAAAAAAAAATCAAAGAATTGAAAAAAAAAATAGAATGAGGAATGGAACCAAATTTACTGGACAGAAAAGGAAGAAAACATTTAAATGATTGAGTCGAGTTGGTCACTAAACAATTTTCCTTAAATGTGTCAGCCCAGAACTAGAATCTTTGATGCCCTCAGAAAGTTACGGTCAGGCCCCTCTGGTTGAGCATCCCACTGCCCGATGTGTGTGCACCCACTTGTCCTGGGTTACTTGGTTTCCGAAAGGGGAGCCCAGCACCCCAGCCATCTGGATGATGGGAGCTGACCAGTTGCCTCGGCTGCCTTTTCACCCGATGATGGGAGCTGACCGGTCGTTGGTTATGGTCGGCCGCAGCTTCACGGTGGCAAAGGGATTTTCTCCACTGTAGAGGGAAAGGAGTTTCAGAATCACCTCTGGACAGAGGTTTGATTTTCCAGGTGTGAAGAGGTGGACCCCTTCCTACTTCTCTAGTCCCGCAAGTTGCCCACACCCTGCTCGGAGGGAGGTGGTCACTAGGAGAGCCCCTCAGGACAGGCCTGGATAACGTGGACACCTGGGGTGGGGCAGCCCAGGCCACTGCCCGCCCAGCTCTGACAGGCATGCCTCTAGTATGGGGGGAGCACAGGGTGGCTGCCCTCTCCCCGGACCTCTTGGTGATGGGGGTGCTGGCCGTGGTGCCAGTGGGGTGATTCCTGTGTTCCAAGGTCGATGTTACAAGGCTCACTTGCAGGGTGTGATGGCGAATAAAACGCACCTGAGAAAAGGCAGCTTTGGGGTCCCGTTGGCGTTGCTCTGTGAAAACAAAGATGGTATTTTTGGAAATCAGAGAACATGTTATAGGATGTGGGAACGTTGGGAGTTACCCATGCTTACAGGTGCCCTGAAAAGCAAGTCTTACACCGCACTTGGAAAGGGTCAGTGAAGAGGAGACCCCCGGGAGAGACTGACGCAGTGGCTGTGACATTGGGTTCCAGGTGGCTTGGTGGCAAAGGTGAGGACAAAGTGGGGCAGGTGGGGGGTTCTGTCCTCCACTGGGGCCCACTGGACACCTAAGGTCAGGCTCCTTGAGTTTGCGTGTCCAAGAGCAGGGTGAGGATGAGAAGTTCTGACCAGGCACTCAGAATGAGGGGGACCAGGGAGTGCACCGAGGGGCAGGACGTGGGCTGAGGAGCTTGTGGGACTCACGGTCTCCAGACATTGAAACAGATGCTAAGAAAAAGCCCCCACCTTCATCCAGAAGCACCACTTTCCTCACGGTGGCCTGATGGTGCCTGGAGTGAGACTGGTAGGAGAAAACCTAAGAGACAGACCCACGCGGCTGGACGTGTGTACACCGGCGGGAATCACGCCAGCCAGAGGTTGAGGGGAGAAGGGGGCCAGTGTGCAGGCGTGGTCTCTGCTCCAGGGCAGCAGGTAGGGGGGCTGCAGGAGGGTGGCCCCTGGGCTGTGCAAACCAGCCCTGTGGTGCCCCGGGAGTTATTCCAGGGCTGCCCAGGAGAGGGCAGTGTGACACCACCTGCAGACCTTTGGGCCCAGGTGGCCTAGGTCTGCCTTGGAGGTGGCCAGCTGCTGGTCAGTGTAGGTGCTGCTGGCCTAGGCAGAGGGTAGGCTGGTGGTGCCAGGGCCGTGACCACAGGTCTGTGCTCCTTATAGCTGGCCCTGGGCCTCCGTGTCTCCATGGGATCAGGAGATGTGGCAGATGACATTGAGAACTCCAGAACTCAGGGTTAGCCCACGTGGCCTAGAGTCCCGCCCTTGGTCAGTTTATGCCACTGGCCTGAGGGCCTCAAGGTGGAGTCTCCAAGGAGGCGTACACCAGGCCTAGGTGGGCACAGCTGTTCCTGGTAATGTTCCCTGTCCTGGTGACACAGAGCTGGATTTGAGGGCCCACCAAGCTGTCTGAGGCCACATCGTCCACTCCTATGGGCACTAACGCAGCGTGTGAACCAAGTGCCCGCAGTGCAGAAGGGGCCGGCCTTCCTGGTGGGACGCTTGGGGGGCAGGAGCTGCCCTACACTCCCCTTACCCCACCCTCCCCCCGAACGCCATCTGCCCCCAGGAGACCACTGTCTAAGGAGGGCTCGGTCCTGTCGGGCCTGGAGAAGTCCCCATAGCTGACCTAGGCAAAGCTCCCTGACAGGAAAATGGGGAAGAGATAACCTCCAACCCCGAACAAAGAGCTAAGAATGGAGGGAGTCCATTGGACCTACTAAGGGAAGACCGATACCAAGATACACGGTGTTCTCATGGAGTGCCGAGGCCACACATGCTAGGGGACAAGGACCTTCCCCAGAGCTGGCACCCTGCTGTCCGATTTCAGTCTCTTCTAGAGCTCTAGTGCTAAGAAACTGCACTGACTGTGGTGGAAATCCACCAGCTGCTCCGCACTTTCCTCCCATGCGATTAACTGCCTCTGAAAAGCCGCTGGAGGGTCAGCTATAAGTTGACTCTGACTCTGCGGCACACAACTCCAAGTACCAGAGAGAGCCAGGAGGAGCTCCTAAGGACAGCCAGCTGAAGTCAGGGGGTCAGGGCAGGCCTGCAGGCCCTCTTTATGTCTCCTCCATAGGGTCGGGGCTGGCCCACAGGCCCTCCTAATATCTCCTCCATGGGGTTGGGCCAGTCGCAGGCCCTCGTCTCTCCTCTACGGGGTCGGCCTGCAGACCCTCCTCATGTCTCCTCCATGGGGCCAGGCAGGTCCGTGGGCCCTCCTTGCCTCTCTTCCACAGGGTCAGGATAGGTCTGTGGGCCTTCCCTGTCTCCACAGTCCAGCATTTCCACCACACCTGAAAGCAGAGCTTGTGTCTGTGTACCAGACACCTGGACTGGGCTGAGGAGAGCCCTGGGGGCTGGGAATGCGCTCTCACCCATTTGCTCTTTTAAATATCAGCTGGGTGTATTTATGTGGGACTGTGTCTAGGTTTTACTCAGTTCCACTGCTCCATGTTTATCCCTCTGCCAAACAGACTATTGAGAGAGGTTTGATAATTTTTTTTTTTTTGCTTGATTTAAAATGGCTCAAAATCTGACATTTTAACCTTTCCCAAACTTGTTTTGGCTGTTTGGTTGGGATTTTTTTTTTTAATGTTCTGTGTTGTGATCTGTCGTCAGTTACGCATATTCACTTTGTGAAGATGCACTGAGCATTTAAAGGGAATGCTGAGTTGTCAGTTACCAGGATGTCCTCTCTCCAACACTCTCGGGCCTCCCTGTGCCAGGGACTATGGAGCAGGCAGGTAAGCTGCCCCCCCACTCCGCTCTGGCCTTGCTGTTTCCATGTGACCTTTCCAGAGTGCTTGGGCCCCAGAAAGGAGGAAGACCTGGAGCTGCGCTTTGGGGTACATGGGTGCCTATTTCCAGTGTCTGTCGCAGCAAACAGTGAACAGTCTGTTTAGAGGGCCCACCCGCAAGGCCAGGCTATTTTGATTTAAGAAGTAGGAGGTCTCTGACAGGTGAGAGAAAACACAGTACAGTCAGTCATAGAAAAGACCAGGCCTGCTGGTGGGGAGACTGGTGGGACCCTAAGACTCGTTTTTGGTCACCCAGCCTGAACTCAACTGTGACTCAACTTTCATCCAGACAACAGTCCTATCAGGTGGATAATGACAGGAAAACACTTGGTATAAGAGTTCAAAAGGGCAGCATCTTACCAGGGAAAAAAGGAAATGGAAAACTTAAGAAGTGGGAAGAATGCTCTTACACTATGGGGATTGCAATCAGAGCCATGAAAGAAACTGAGTTGTTGAAGGGAATTAACCAATTTGCTTTGGAAATTTTCATCCAAACCACAATCAAAAGGTAAACTCCAAAGCATTAGGAGGGAGCCAGTGCTTGCTAAGCTCAGCCCAGAGCCTCATGGGGAAGCGAGACCTGGGACCTTCGGGCATGCATCCTCCCAGGGCCCCCTCAAGTGCCTTCTCAGTGCCTGGATCCCTGGCTGCAGTGTCTGCAGCTAAGCCTGAAGATGCTGGATGTGCACAGAATGCCTCCTGGAACAACCAGCAACTGATGAGCAGTGTTAAGTAATGACTAAGAAAAACCAGTTTTTCATTCTTTTAAAATAAGATGCTTGGCCAACTCCCAGAGACCCCAGTGGCGGGCCTGAGCAGAACACTCCTGCAGCATCATTGGAGTAATGGTGCTGGTCTGGTTCTGAGAACCTGTGACACAGACCTGAGGACGTTGGCCCAGCCCTGAAGAGCATGCCCGACTTCCCTCAGCCTCTCAGGTGGGCTGTCTGTGGCCTGCCCAGCTCTGTTCAGCCCCTCTGCTGGGCTTTACTGCTGACACTTCTCTACTGAGTCTGTGCCTGCATTTGCCTGATATAATAGACCAGTTTGTTGGTTGTTCCGTTGTGTGCTGTCAAGCCTCCAGTGACTCATAGCGATCCTATGTACAACAGCCCCAAACCCTGCTCTATCCTGTGCTTACTGTCTCTGAATCAATCCATCTCATCGAGGGTCGTCCTCTCCTGTGCTTCCCTCCACCCTCCCAAGCATGATGTCCCTCTCCAAGGACTGATCCTGCCTTGCTACATGTCCAAAGTATGTCAGATGGAGCTTCAGAATCCTTGCCTCCAAGGAGCAACCTGGTTTCACCCTCTCCAGGATGAACTTGTTTGTTCTCCCAGCAGTCCATGGTATATTCAATACTCTTCTCCAGCACCACAGCTCAAAGGCATCAATTCTATCATCCCTAGTTCATTATCCAGCTTTCGGATGCATAGCAAGTGATTGCAAAGATCAAGGCCTGGATCAGTCTGTGGTTAGTGATGGTTATTTAAGTTGGATTATAATCATGTGATGTGACAGGGTTATGTAAATGGGATCCAGGGAGACCGCAGCATCGCTCCTCAGCCACACCTTTCACGTCTCTAGGCCCCATGTGTCCAGTAGACACTGTACTTGCAGCAGTTCTGGGCCATTTCTGTCATCCAGAAAGTTCCAGTGCACAGCACTGCTCTACAGACTCTGGGTTTCCTTTATTTCACACTCCTCATCCTCCCCCTGCTCCCTGACACACAAGATTATTAGATCCTGCACCTCCTGCTGCTTTTGCAAGAGGCAGGTACCAGGAGGGCCATTAAACGCCAGCAATTACACCAGTTTCCGAAAGTACTTTCTGAGAGCAGCAGAGACGTGTCTGTGGTCTGTCTCTCTACCTGCGTGGCCCGGCTCTGCTCTTGGTTGTGTCAGAGTGATACAAGGTAGTGACTTGACTGCCGGAAAGACAGAGGACTGGGCAGCAGATGCAGCCTGGTGACAGGGCTGTGCTTGGCTTTCCTTTGAAGTCTGCGAAGGATCCTGACAAACTGCTTCGGAAATGTAAATTACCTCTGTCTCGTGATCGAAATGGAATGTGAGTGAGCAGTTTCATCTCATGCATCTCTGCAGAACTTTATGTATTTTGGGTGATTAACCTCTTCCTCCCAGGATCACATCCACTTCATCACTCTGTAGAGAAGAGGCAGTGTAGCTGGAGAAGGGGGGACCGGAGGAGGCCTTCTCGGTTTCTTAAAGTCAATTAGAATTTTCCTCCAACTTTGAATAGCTCTTTCCCATCACCCTCCAGATGAGAAAGCAGCGTGATCATCATCCCTCAGTGAACAGCTCCCAGCACAAGGGTCTGTCCTGGCAGTGAGCTGACCAATACATCGACAAACAGAGTTGAACTTCCCAGTGTGCTGCGGGACCATCATTTCCCCTGCTGGCCTCTCTGTCTGCTTCACAGGTTTCTGAGCCATGTGCTTCCTGGGAGGACAGAGGCGTGGTGGGCAGAGCACATCTCGAGATACTGTGCACTGAGCTCCGACACCAGATAAAGGGCGTCCCACGGCTCTTCTGGCTTCCCAGTAGATGCTGCACGTATGTCAGCAGTGCAGTATCCGCACATGCCACGAAAGAGCATGACAACATCTGATGCTGGGGGAATAACCAAAGTAGGACATTGAGACACGAAGGAGCACGTGCTGTTAGGAAACTGGCACCGGCACATTAACTCGACACTGGTTGCCACAAACCATCTGTGAAAGATACGGCATCTCGGGAAAAGTTGGTAAAGGAAAACATAATAAAGTGAGTGTGGCTGAACTCAGGCTTCCGAGGCCCGGTCTGCACTGGATAAACCCATCGCTGGAGCATCTGCCGCTGGCTGACAAATGGCGGACATGCCACCAGAAAATGCTCAGCATATCTTAATTCTCACACACTGTTCTTGAAAAGGAACTCAGGGTTGACTCTCCAGCAGGTTTGAAGAGGCTGTAAATTGCTCAGGAGGACACTGTCCGTCTTTCTGCTTCAGAGCAGCTGGTGGATCCGAACGTCTTAACACAGGGTTTTCCAAAACATCCACCCCCTTCCTTCCAAAGCAAGCAAGCAAAAGACACCTGGGTATTTCTATAAGCAGAAAGTGTTATTTAAAATATTTTAGCTAAGGGTGTGATGATTCAGTAATTTCTACACAGGCACCCTGTCCCAATCTGGACTTGGCTCTTTGAAAATCTGTGGTCATGACTGCTAGGTGACGACAGGACATCTCCCCTCAGATGTTTAATGCAAGCAGCACCAGGCAACACATGAGGGGACCAGGTGGACTATCCTCTCTCGGGGAGTGGTTGTTCAGGGCCGCTGAGTTGCTGCGATTCCATGACCCGATGCCCTATCCTGAGCCAGTCTCACGGTCTCCGGCACACCTGGACCCCCACCATGAAGTCCTTCTCCAGGGACTGGTCCCTCCTGGCCATGTGCCCAAAGTATGTGCAACAGAGCTTATAAATCCTAACCTCCATGGAGCAGCCTGGTTTCACCCTCACCAGGACAGGCCTGTTTGTTCTCTCTGTAATCTATGGTATGTCCAATATTGTTCTTCAGCACCACACCTCAAAGGCATTGATTCTTCTATCATCCTTAGTCACTGTCCAGCTTTCTGATGCATAGCAAGTAAGTGAGAAGACCAGGTCCAGGATCCGGTTCACCTTAGTCTCCAGATCAATGCTGTTGCTTCTGCACTTTGGAGACGTTCCTGACATCAGATTTACCCAAAGGTGTGTCATTACTTGGTGTGTGGCTGTTTGAACACACAGCTTTTCAGTTAACCAAGTTTAGCACAGTCCCGGGAACTAGCCACGTGGGGAAAGAACATGTCATTTTCTACTCTGGTAGACACCAGCGTTCTCGGTTATGATCCCAGCGCTAAGTGAGCTTTGGACAAGACTTTCTTCCCTTAAAAGGCTTTATGCAATCTTACAAAAGCCATGCCACCTGTCACTTGCTGAGGTCATGGGACTAGGCGGTGTGGTTCTGAAGACGTCCACCATCACAGAAAGCTCTGCCCAGTGATAGTGTGTGGCTTCCTGGTGGCCACATCCAGGGAGGCACTCTCACAAAGCAAAATGGACAAACAGCAAAGCCCAGGCTCTGGTACAGGCTTGAGAGCTACATGCCAATTCCTGGGAATCGAGGAGCCATGGGAACAGGGCCAAGGACATCATGTGGACACAAGAAGCAAAACCGGCACCGAGGACTACACGCAGGACAAACACCTTTCCATCCAGACAGTAAATCATGAGGAGGCAGAGGAGGGGGCAACCTGCATGTGCCATTCTTGTGGAAAGCTGTCTGGACACGTCTGGAAAGAGCCAGACAGACAGTGGATCCATGCAGTGCGTGTATCTGAGGAGCAGGACAAAGGCACTTTGGAATGAGATTCCTAACACGTGCTTTTCTAGACTCAATTGAGGCAGAACTTTGACCCTAAATGTCTGTCCAGCTTGTATGATGGAGTCCACCATTCACAGGGGGACAAAAGCCCCAACACCCTGGCGCCTAGAGCCCCACATCCCACCAGAAAGTAGGGAGACGGCTGTGTGTGCACTGCACCCACAGTAAGAGGAAGGGAAAACACACCCCAATAGTGGTACTGGCTCAGCAGAATTGTGCTTGTGCACGGTCCTCGCCCCTGGGATGTCTGGGTGGGCTCTGGGCAGTCCGGCAGAACCACCCAGTGGCCATGAGCGCTGCTCAGCTGTCCCCCCGCTGTGTTCCTGCCAGCTGACTGTCCTGCCTTCTAGTCCCTTTCCAACTCCCTCCACACCAGCGGTTCTATTTCACTGCCCTCTACTCTCCCACTGTCCCCTACCTGCCTCCTCTCTCTTCTCCTCTGGGACCAGTGTCCATTTAACTACTTACTCGAATGCGCAGCAGAGCGACCACAATCACATTGACCGGCTTAATTTTAATCAAGACTAGAGTCTTCAAGGGCACTTGGTGTAACCCCATGTCCTACTCTACTTCTTCAATGCACCCCTTTCCGCTGACACGCCTGCTTCACGGCCTCTTGTCCGGCCACTCACCCCTCAGCACAGATCTCAAACAGGAACTTGGGTCACCGCCATGCCCTGCTGTACTCAGGTTCACACCCTCAGCTCCCAATTGCACCCCGAGGCTGGAAGCCCCGCTCCTGGCCAGCACAGAGGCCTCAACACTGCGCCTCATCTTGCTGTCTAACTCCTTCATTTTCTGCCTTCATTTCTCTACAGAATAATCCATGATAAAGGTGTAAAGGCTCCTCCGCCCTCATCAAGACAGTGCTGAGGCCCAGCCTGCTGCTGTGGTGACAGAGTCCTGTGAGCTCCGTCACCTGCTTTCCTGGTGTTGGCGCTAAGGGCGAGCCGAGGAAGTGACCCACACTCCACCCTGGTCTGGGTCCCAGTGCCAAGGCTGTGCTGCTCACCCAGGTTCACCCTGTTGAGCACCTCAGCTGCTGTAGGTTCCCACACGGCTTTTATCACCGGTGCTTGGGTCTCTTTCCTCCCACTAGAGGTACCATACACCTGAGGAGCCAGGGGCTGGTCTTGTTCAGCTCTGTGTCTCTGGAGCCCAGCACCTGGCCCTCAGCTGCCCCCTCTACACACTATGTCTTCCCAGTGCATGTCCTCTCACCCTGTGCCCCCCCCCCGCACCCCCGCCCGAGAGGGCTTTTCAAGAACAAAAGATGGCGTACACACTGCCTGGCGGGAGCTGAACACTTTCTGCTTCCCTAGCAGACTGAAGATTAAGTGCCCACTTTTAATCTTTCGCCTTCCTTCAGAAAACAATGTGACACTGGAAGCAACTGTAGAGAAGGTGATAAAAGCCTGCTGGAATCTGGCAAAGTATGGACTTCCAGTGTGTAAACAACCACTTGTGAGATAAAGAGTGAGCAAGAGACTGAAATGAAGGAACTGGGGCTGAGTGACAGGAGACTGAGCACGACCTCTGAGCTGAGGGCAGGGAGGCCACCACCTCCATGCTGGTGGCAGAACAAAGCTGTCAGGGTGGGACGGGCAATTCTGAGCTCCCAAGCACTGAGATGTGACCCCCTGGGCTTTACTCACAGTAGGCAGGGCTTCTGGTTTGGGTGCAGGAGCCTTGAAGGTGGAAGTGTTTTGAGAGGTATCAGTGCTCCTCTCTGCAGCTGCCCCAGTGGTCACACACTCCAGATAGTGTGGCGGGGGGATGACAACGTTTTTCTCGGACAAGTTCAGCGTGCTGATGCTTCTCATGGGGACAGGGCTGAAATGGAGATGTTATTGCATCCAAGTTAGACAAAATCCTGCCGTCCAGATCCCACACACCTTGCCCAGTCTATGACCAAGAGCAACACATGACTGTAACTGATGGGATGAGGGGTTCAAAACACACACACACACACACACACACACACACCCCACCCCCGTAATGAATCAAAGGCTACAGGGAGCGCTGGTAGCTGAGTGGTAAGAAATTATGCTGCCAGCCCAAAGGCATGCAGTTCACATCTGCCGGCTGCTCCATGGGAGAAAGGTGGGAAGTCTCCTGTGCAATCTGCAGCCTCTGAAAACCTGCTGGAGGGTCCGCTGTGAGTCAGTTCTGACTCGATGGTGCATAACAACATGGATCAAACTCTAAAGAAATTCTTCAAAGTCATGACAGAAGCAAAGTAGAGGAAAACGCATTTGATGAGGTGCTGACTCTTGATCTACTCAGTCTAAAATGATCAATAAAAAAACAAAGACCCCAGCAATATCCTTAGCAAGCCATCAAGCACTTAAGATTTTTTAAAAAATCAGCAATTCAATCCCTTTCAAATGTAAGTTTCTTCCCTTGGCTCACTGCCCTCCCAGCTCCTGTGCTGTTTACAAGGGGTGAAATGCCATGGACTTAGAGGACGCTGCACAGGATTGGGCAGGTGTCAAAGGCTACTGCTTCGTGAAACGATGGAAAACGAGTGCACAGGATTGGGTAAGTAACCAGAAGTGGTGGGTGAGCGGAGAATGGGTTGCAAGGGCTGGACGGCAGTGGTCTGAGTCTCCACAGCAGACAACAGAATGACACAGGAAACAGCACACAGCCTTTCTTACTAGCCCAGAGCTCTGAGGTTTTCCATGGAGCTGGCTACATGATCTGGAGTGTGGCTCTGGTTGCCTGCAATACCCATCAAGAGCAAGCTTCTGGTGGTGGGAAGGAGCCACCCCAGGGTCTACCTTGGCACAGGCACAGATGCTGCTGCCTTTGAGCCTTCTTCCAGCAACTTTGTGTAGGATGACGGGAACCAACCTCTCCTGCAGGTGAAGGAAAAAGAAAAAAAAAGATTATCATGTGGTACAAGCAACAGACAACAGAACAGAAGACATGCTGGGGGTGACTTGGGGACAGTGCTGACCATGGAGTACATGCTGGTCACAGGCTCATGTGTGGAATGAATTGATAAAGGCTCATAAAAATATTCATGTCACTGGCTAGCCCATGGCTGGAATGACAAGGGCAGGGTTTACTTTTATGTAACAAGATACGTCTGATAGATTCTTGAGAAAGGAAGCCAGATGCACACACTCTTGTCTGAGATCACAGTACAGCATGAACAAAACCTGTGTATGTGCATTGATGTAACTGGTATGTGCTTGGCTCCTAACCTGAAGGTTTGAGGTTCGAACCCACCAGCTGCCCATGGAGAAGGTGGGCAGCTGGCTCCTGTAAAGATTTATGACCATGGAAATCTGGAGAATCTCCAGAGGTTGGGACTGACTTGATGGCAGGGGTCTCTGAAGTCTGTTAAGCATACATCGGCACTATGAGAACGTTTGCAAACTATGTCACAGAGGCTTGGAGTGAGTACGAGCTGTTGGAAAAATGGCACTGATATTTGGTGCACAGAGAGTTGCAAGTGTTCAATTTGTGAAAAATGCAGTGTCTGTGGAGTGTGAGGAGTCGAGGGGTACCCGTCTACGCATAAGCACACAGGGACAGTCAGAACACGCTGCCACCCTCCTTCCGGCTGATTGGCTAGCAGGAAGGTGTGCGGACGGCATCAGCGTGGTGACTTACACCTTGGAGGTGTCATGCTCCCCGTAGAGCCAGCCGTCCTTCTCTTCAGGGACGAGCAGCGTGATGACCTCTCCCTGTGAAAAGCTGAGCAAGGTCTTGTTTCCACCAGCGTTGTGTGGGAAAATGGTTTTCACTTTCTGCTTTTTCATCAGGTTCAGGCCAGTGGCAACAGACACGGACCGCTGTAGACTGGGATCCTCGGGAGAGTCTGCTGAAAGATGAATGGGGCATTATGGCTGGTAAAAATGAACTGGGAGAGAGGGAAGGGAGGGAGGAAGCGGGGGTAAAAATGTGCAACAGTGAATGAAAATCCAACTTTTCTGTAAACTTTCATTAAAATTACAATTAAAATAAAAAATTTTATTTTGAAAAAGTCAGGGATCACATCCATGGGGGAAGCTCTAGACCATCCCTCCTCCCACCCAGCACGTGCTCGTTCTGCAGAAACTCCCACAAAGGGTTATTTCACTGCCTGAACTGGGCAAGGGCTGCAAGGAACAGACATAGAATCGTGGTCTGTGGTCTTCCTGAGCCTGCAGGGAAAGGGCCTCAAGCTAAAAGGTCTTTGCCAGAGGGCTCAGAAGATTGCCAGGCAACTGGATTTTGATCACAACCGCTCTGAAGATGGTGAACTGACACGGGGGCTGCACGTGTACCATGGACTGGAAGACACGGCAGGACCAGGCAGAGCCGTTTGTGTGCTGCTGTGTACAAGCTTTTATCCTTTCTCTATGCCTGTTCCGTTTGTATACTGAGCAAATAATCCAAAAAACTGGAGTCTATGAAGAATGTAGCATCAGGATTGAAGGACGATTCCGTGCTTGCAGGTAGTGAAGAGGATTGAAATACTACAGATCACGGACTACAGTCTTCAGTATTGGGTTATATTATACAACATCAAGAAGAGAAAAATCCTCACCAGAGGATCAACAGGCAACATCACAGTTAAGTGGAGAAAAGACTGAAGCTGCCAACTATTTCACTTGAATTAAAAATCAATACCCATGGTAGCAGCAGTCAAGAATTCCAAAGATGGTATTACATTGTGCAAATTGGCTGTCAAGGACTTCTTTAAGGTGCTGGAAAGCAAGCACATCACTTAAAAGACTAAGGTGCACCTGATTTGAGCCATGGTATTTTCAGTTGCTTCATATACACATGAAAGTTGAACAGTAAAGAAGGAAGACTAAAAGAAGAAGTGACACTTGCGAGTGGTGTTGGCAAAGAATACTGAAGATACCGTGGACTGCCAAAAGAACAAACAAGTGTGTCTCGGACAAAGTATACCAGACTGCCCCTTAGGGGTGAGGATAAAGGGACTTCGTGCGACATACTTTGGGCATGTTCTCAGTGGAGCCATGTCAATGACCCGAGCCCTGTGAGGCCAGGGCTCTCCCAGGATCACTGAGTTCCTGGAGCCCCAAAGGGGCAGCCAAGCTCTACCAGAGTCCATGTACAGGCTGAAATAAACCACGTAAGAAGGACTGGGCAGGCAGTCGTTTTTTTTTAGGTGTTTCTTAGAAATTTAAGTAATCTTAGATGTTAGTGACTTCTTTTGCACTCAAATTCTGCTAGTCTCCTACAAGATGAACTGACCCAGTGGCTACACTAATGGGCAAGGTCCTAGGTGCCAAAGACTCTGTAGGAAGAATGGCATTTAACCAAAGCAGCTGTCAGAAGTGTTTGTTAATAATCACTGGCCCCAATTTGTTGCAATATGTGCAGTCAACAGAATTAAGACATTTATGCAGATACTAATGTCATATGAAAATTGAGACTTTTTTTGAGGTTGAGTTCCTCAAAACCAATGCTAAACATAAGCTTCCAGGCATGTTTGCTGAGCATGAGGTAGACTTCATGACACATTCATTTATCCAAAGTTCATTTCAAGTAATTGTAAGGAGTATTAAAAAAAAAAGGCCCAAATCTCTTACCTGTTGAGTTATTTATATTTTCCGAATTCTGTCCAACTGTGGTTGGGTTATTAAACATGTCAATCAAAGGACCGGTGTAGGCTTTGGCTGAAGGAGCGGGGGGCGGCATCTTTGGTGTATATTTGGAAAGGGTGTCATAATCCTTCCCAACCTGTGAACAATTCTTTGTTAGTCTAGTATTTAGCGTAGGAAATGAATCTGTAGCTTCTCAGGATTGTTTCTGCATCTTATCCTTGAAATTCTACCTTTTCCTTCTCCCTCAAGTTCTTCTCATTGAAGGGCACTGGCCTACTTTGAATTATTTTAAGAGTATAGAACAATTTTTTTTAACAAAACAATTTTTTATACTCTATAGTTTTTCAGTTTTCTTAAAATTGTTAGTTCACTGTCATTTCACACTGATGCCTTTAAATATAGACATGAGATTTCTAAAAATAGAAGTGTTGATGAACTATGTATATTTGAATTCTTAAGTAGGTTTTGCCAGGTAATTTAAAAAAGATCACTGTGATTCTCATCTCCCTAACAATGTACAGAAGAGGCTGTTCATCCTGATTCTTCCCTACTTTGATGTGCTGTTCAAGTTTTGATGGGTGGCACACAAATACATGCCTTTACAGCAATGCACCCATCTGGACTATTATCTCTCAGACACAAGGGAGGTGTAAGCTCCTGTCACGCATGCCCTGGTCGTCTGCATTCTTCCCTGTGAACTGCCTGGTCATCCATTACCGATTTTAAATGAAGCTATTTCCAGTGCATCAGGGAGCTGTCAGGTATTTTGAACTGATGCTTGGCAGGTGCATCAGAGAGAAACAGTGTGGCAGTGCCTTCCCTCAGGAGGCTGCCTTGGTGTTCCTTGTCCTGCTCATGCAGTTAGTTCCCCCACCTTGGTACTATCAATATCATTCTCAATCTTCTTCTAAAATTTTACTTTTGTATGGAGTACAAATCAATCAAACCCCCGGCTGTCAAGTTGATTGTGACTCTGAGTGACTCTGCAGGACAGAGCAGAAATGCCCACGGGGTTTCCAAGGCTGCAGGCCTTCAAAGAAGCAGACTGTCTCATCTGTGTCACTCGGAGGAGCTGGCAGGTCCCAGCTGTCAAGTTTTCAGTTAGCAGCCGAGTACGTACCCACTGCCCTCCTAGGGTCGTATACAGAATATGTCTTTTTTGTGTTCCAGATGAAGAGCCAATGATGTGAGAAGAATTCATGATATAAACTATCCTCTTCCCACTTAATTGAAATGCCAACCTGGGAACATCTTTCATGATGTAAGGTTTCAAGATCTATTTCAATCTATTTCTGGATGCTGTCCTGTCCCACCAGAATGCATTTTTAAGTATTTAGTAGTAGGCCCATGTGTCTACTTCGTTTTCTTGGAAAATTGTAAGTATTTTACTTCTCATAAAATTTTAATTCTGAGAAGTTCTTATTCTGATTAGAACTACCCTAAATTGTATACAAATATTGGAAAGACCAATATATGGAAGATCTCATGCTTTCTGCTCCTGATCTCTGCTGGGCCTGAGCTCTTGGCTGGCAGAGGCGCTGTGCCCCCTGTAGCAGGCCTGCCCCGGATGTCCTTGCACACAATGCTTCTGCCTCTCTTCCCCTCACTGTGACCCTCCCCAGTGCTGGGGCAGGCTTTCTGTGCAGGTGGTTGGCTGAGGGGCTTTTCACACAGGGAGGGTAGACCCTTCTATTCACACTATAAGCTGCACCCAAATACCCACAGGTGTTTATAATAATAAAACCTGGGTCCAAAGATCAGCAAATTAAAACACCCAATTCACTGCCTATGAATTCACCAAATTACTTTGGTGACTATTATCTCAACTAACCATCTTATACAGTTGGTATTGGGGTTTTCCTACTCAATTATACTCCCTTCTCTGGAAAATAAAAAACCAAGCAACTTTCAGAGAGTGAGTCATAATACCTAAAAATAGTCGTAAGTTTTCCAAAACAAAATTTTTTTTTATAATGGCACATTATATGCCATTTGCACAGCTAGTTTCAAATCGGGATGAGAGGGAGTCAGAGTAAGAGAAGATGGACCTTAGAAGAAATAGTAAGGAGCCCTGGTAGCACAGTGGTTAAGGACTGGACTGGCTAAGAAAAGTTTATGGTTCAAACCCATCCAGTGGCCTGTGGGAGGAAGAACTGGCAATCTGTTCCCATTAAGCTGTTACACCTAATGTATCAATGTAGAGGGGACCATAATCAGTGTCACAAAATACATACACAAGGTGGTACATACATATTGAATAGGAAAACTACTCTATCACCCAAACTAAAATTAACACAAAAAATACCTACAGAGCACAACTGTACTTTTAACACACAGGTCGGCCCCATGAATAAGAATCAGAGGAAAGAATTACAGCTAAGATCATCCTGGTGGGCAGCTCTGAGTTGGAACTGACCTGACGGCATCCAACAACAGGAGAAATAAAAGGGGCCTGCAATTTCACTAACAAAGGCCTTTACCCTCTGCATAGACCCAAATCACATCACAAGTGCATATCCAAAATTTTGGCTAGCTAAGCAGTTCCTACCATGTTGCTTCTCTCGATCATCGGGGAGGGCTGAGGGGTTCCGGACAGTGGAGTGGAGACTGGGGTCTTTATTTCTTCTATCATATTTATGATCTTCTCAGGTACTTTGGTGGCATCACAACAGGTCTCCTGCCACCAGGGCAGTTTGGAATTAAGTACTTCTGCAGACTGTGAATCCCAAAGAAACAAAAAGACAAACGTGAATTGTTTAATGAATAGATAAAAATCCCATCAAGCAATCAATCTCACAGATAGCACGGAGTGTGGTGGATGCTCTGAGCAACATACGGTTGATTTTAAGCACCAGAATGCCCTCTCCCTCAGTCTGAGGAGAGTTCAGATTAACAGGGGTAAGGAATGAGGCCAAGTTAGAAGACAGACGGGGAGGGCAGAGCAGTATGTGGTAACCCCAACTCTCTTCTCAGTGGCTCAAGAACTGCTTATCACAGGACGCATGGCTGCAGAAAGAGGATGGACAAGGGCCCCCAAAGCCTGGCTCTTCTTGTGAATAACCTGCCAAAGCTCCCCCAGTGAGCCACCTTTTCTAGGGTGTCTATCTGTAGCCATCCGTCTGCAGTGAGCACAGGCTGGTGTGAAGGGCAGGGGCAAGGTGCTGACGGAAGGCATGTGGAGTAGCTGGGCTCTGCCCCAATGGCAGCCTGACACACAGCGGCAACAGCTTGATCTGTTGTTCAAGGGATCAAGGGAAGGCCTGTAAGTGCATTATGTCATGTGGGTGGGATGGACAAGGACGTGGACATGAGGCCTCCAAAGCCCCTGGAGAAGGGTACAGTGGCAGGGATGCAGACTGCCTGAGAGAAAAGAGAAGAGCAGCATTTCTCAATTATAAAGCATTATGTCAAAAGGGATTTAAAATAATGGACATATGACAGTTAGTGCTTGAACAACATGAGTTTGAAATGCGTGGGCCCACTCTCTAGCAGATTTTCTCTGCTGCTGTGTCGGTGAGACTTTATGCTTGCTAATCATCTCTATGTGAGCAGTTTAAACTGCCCATGAGGGAAGAACTAATGCTATAGGGGGTGTTTTAAGCAGATATACAAAACATGTGAGGCCTTGCAGTTCAAACCCATGTTGTTCAAGGGTCAACTCTAGGTTGCATACTGTATTCTATTTTGAGGGATGTGAATGCCACTAAAGCCCCACATAGTTCAAGGGACACTACATTAAGTTTACTAATTAAATGCTGTAAGTAGACACTTGAGTGTGTCACTAACAATCCTAAACAGTCACATATTCAAGGTGGCTAACACAGCCGCCTCTGCAATCTTCCTTGGGCACCAGCAGGTCGTGATATACAGAAGTTGAAGCATTCAGGGTACTGAAATAGGAAGATTATTCATATACTTGAAACATGTGGCTGACATGCCCACCTGTAAGTGATAAGAATGTATGTGATTTGAAAAGCTGCAGTGTTTGTCAACCAGGAAACAGAAGCGCCTCTTCTCCTCAAGCAGAGCTTCTTTGCAACCATCTGCAATAAATTTCTGGATGTCACTCTGGCGAGAGGTAACGGTCTCCACATACTGGGAAGAAAAGTAACAATTACACACATGCGACACAAGCAAGCGAGCAGTTGCAGTCTAGGCAGTATTCCCCACCAGGGTTTATTTTGATAATGGAGCACATACTGGCTACAGACAAACATTTGATGAACTGAGCTGTGACCTGACTCTCAAAGATAAAATCACTCTCATTAAGAGCTCTGACTCATCTGGGAAGGGAAGTTGCCAAAGGCTTTCCATTTCCACTGGGCAATTTGCACAAAGTATTACTATGCACTTAAAGTATTACTATGCATGTGAGTGGTCTAAAGACACAGACTTCAGAACCAGAAAGGTCTTGGTTTAAATTCCAGTTTCAAATGAAGAGCCTCAGCTTTCCAATCATTAAAATGGGAATACTGATGTTGACTATAGTCATCCCACTCCCTGTTCTCAGAAGGTAACACCAGTGTTTTTAGGAGGTCTAAAACTCCCTGCTGTCAACTGACTAACAGTAACCATGAAGGACAGAGGAGAACCTCCCCAGGGTCTCCAAGGCTGCAATCGTTACAGCAGCAGACCGCCATGTCTTCCTCCTGCAGAGCGGCTGTAGACTTGAACTACCTACTTTTCAGTTAGCAGTCAGTACTTGCACCACTCGGGTCCTCTGTTTGCTCGGATATTCCCAAAAGCTAATCCAAGCCCCTGCTCCAGGAAAAGTAGGCCTGGCCCTCCGGCTTTCCAAGGCTATAAATCCTTACAGAAGCAACTGCTGGGTTTGAATTGCTGACCTTTCAGTTAGCAGCTGAGCACTTAACCAAATGCACAGCCTACGTTCCAAAGTCACCGACTAATTACAGAAAGCTCTGCTGCTTCAGGGCTTACTAAACCCAGGTCCTGCTTTTCAACCTCAGGAGCAGCTCATGATAGCCTGAAGCTCAGCCCGCCTGGGAGCAGTCAGCGTGCCCCTAGCCGTACAAACCCAACAACAAAGCAGAAGAAAACAGGACACCACGTTCACCTCGATTTCTTTGTGTTCATATTTGAGTGCGTTCCGTCCTCCTTGACTTTTCCTTCTGATCTTCTTCAGCTCAGCCTGCGATTTCTCCAAAGAGTCCAACTTGTTCTTGTGTTCCGTTTGGTAACGTTTGAGAGTTGCCTGAAAGTGGAAAGCTATGCTAGAACTGGAGCACCCCAGGAGGTGCCATAGGCTGTGGCTCCAACACCTCAGTCCCAACCTTCAAGTTAACGCCCCCATTTACACAAGGAGGCCTTGACCGAACTGGCTGTTCTGAAGACAAAATCACAGGATTCATCACACTGAATGATCGGTAAGTATTCTGGTGAATAAACAAAGGACAGTGAGGGACAGGTCGCTCGGTGTGCTACGAATGACCACTCGAGGGACATGCCTGACAGCCTTGGTTCCTCTGGTGCCATGCATCTGGGAGTTTAGGTACCCAGGGTCTGAAGCCTAGCAGCCCTGCATTTGAATTCTACCTACATCTGTTAATACCTGGCTGATCTTGGCAAATTACCTATTTTCTCTACAACTCCTATTTTCTTTCTGCCTGTAAAGACAGGGTGAGAAGAGCACCTCCATGTCAGGGACGCTCTGTAGGAAAACCCATATAATGTAGGTAAAGCCTGTGGCCTGAACCACACCTCAGCCCCGACTCTGCCTTCTTTCAGGGGTTCAAGAGCACATGCGGGTGCAGGCAGAGGTCTCATGGTCCCCACTAGGGGGATCTTTAGGGTAACCTCCTCCGCTCCCTGCTCCATGGGGTGCGGGGTGAGGTGGGTACCGAGGGGCAAAGAGTAACTGCTGTGCCCTGGAAGTGGAGGCCAGTCTGAAGATGACCTAAGGAAATGCCAGTATGGACAATCCTGGGGTGACATGTGAGAGACTCCACAAAGAGCTCAAGGCAGTAGGTGTTCTTTCACATGGCTACCGACTGGAAGCAGGAGCGGCACTAATATGCCACAGAGGTCGAATCACCTACAGACCTGCCTTGAACAATCTTCTTTCCAAAAGCAGTCTGATGTTTTATAGTCCTTTTTAATTTGTTTGTTTTTGACAAAGGCTCAAGTGTTTGCCAAAAGCGAGTCCCTTTAGCGTAGAGGAATGCTGTCAGTTTTATGCACCCTGTATTCACCCACCACAAGGCTCCATCAGCTTCTGCTGAGCTGGTGCTGGTACAGGTGGTGGAGGATGTGTGTTAATACTAGGGTCTAGTGAGTTGACAAGTGGTGCATGTCTGGACAGTGCGACTTCAGAGGCGGAGGAGAAAACCCCTGGACTTACATTCATGTATTTTACATCAAGTTCTGTCTTCTTCTCCAGCTCATGTATAATCTCTTTATGGAACTTTTTAAACTGTTAACAAAAGAGGGGAAAATTCACTAAATTTGAATCTTTCAGTAAATAAAAAATACATATATTATAAATATAAACAGTTGACATACACTTTCATCAAGGCTGTCGTTGAGTTTCTTGTGTGTAATTGAAATCTCTATGAGAACCCGTCCTGTGAACAAAATAGAGGAATTAACAAACATATTTATGTCAGGGAGAAAGCCATTGAATACCCCAGCTCCTCCTGATAACCTTGTAAGACCAGGAGAACTGCCTCAAGGGTTTCCCAAGCTGCACCATGACAGAAGCAGGCTGTCTTATCTTTTTCCAAGGAGTGGCTCCGTGGGTTTGAACTGCTGACCTTCCCAGTTAGCAGCCATGCTGTTTAACTGCAGCATCACTAGGCTCCTTAGTCATTGCATAGTTTTGTAAAAATACCAAGGATCAGACAGGAGCAGAGTGGACAATATACTTTCCAACTTCTTCATCTTGGTTGTCACAGAGGTCTGGTCCCCAGTAGCAGTCCCTCGCCCCTCACCAGCCTACCCAAGTACAAGTCTGAGTTCGTAGGCAGTCCTTTCCCCAGCTGGATCCCTTCCCTGCTCTTGCAACCATAAAGAAATAACTTTTTCTGACTCAGAAACAACTCTCACTAGGGCCACCAGCCCCAATCCAGGAAGTGGGTGGGCCAGTACACCATGAGCTGGAGGGACCAGTTGGGCGGGCAAAGCATGTAAGCGGGAGCCATCTCGCCTGGGCAGTGTGAAGTTTCCTCTTGGCCACTGCTGGGTGAATGTGAGAGATTCCCATTGTGAAGGGTAACACAGATAAGGCTGGTCTGGACGTTCACTCAGGATCCATGTGTGGGCAGGCCCCACAGGTTTTTGGTACAGTGATTCTATGTATTTTTTCTATTTTCTTTTGATGCTTCCTGGATCATTCAAGATTTCAGACACAGCATCTGTCAGTACTGCAACTTGAAACTTTGTTTATAATTTCTTTCAGCTTGAGAAATGTCCAGCCAATTCTTCCCTTTTTATTCTCCAACTCTCATTTTGCACATTCCATTATAATACTTAGCCTCATCTTCTTGACCTGTCCTTTGAAATCTTCTGTTTATCTCTTTTATTCAACATATTTTCCCTTTGTTCTGATTTCTTGATGCTCCAAGACAATTTTCACAATCTCCTCAGACATCTATTTTCTTTCTCCTCTGTAATGTCTGTTTGCTCTATTCACCTAAAACTAAACTGTAAACTACCCTGGGTTCTCTACTCTCAGCTGTGACATTGCCAGTTGTCCAATCCTGAAAGCTTGACATCTCTCCCCTACGTCATATCCAGTAATAAAGGCACTTCATGTGCACACAGGGCCATGACTTGGACATTGTTGGGGAGTGGGGCCCAGGCCCATTCCTTATCCTGCTTCCTAGGCTCTAGAATTTATTTCTGGGTCAGGAGACTCATATGCAGAATTCATGTGAAGTGGTTTGCACTCCCAGCCATCTGTCTCACTAGAAGTGGCAGGACTCTTCCTGGTTACGTCGCTCCATACAAACACATTCAAATCCTGCTGAATGTCCTCTTTAGCTTCCTTTTTCTACCATCCTCAGCCAGTCTTGGCACATGTCCTTATCACTGCTCCCCTGTGCTCACTGGGCCTGCCTCCCTGGCTGACTGTCTTTACAGGGACCGGGAGTCTTTCCAAAATGCAAAGGTAACGAGTTACTCCCTTTTACCCTTTATAATACCCCAAATATTTCTTAGCAATGCACCCAAAGTCCTCCATGAACAGTGGTGCCTGAAAACATGAGCGGTGGTGGGGATGATGACTCTTCAAGTCCCCCAGCAGAAATAAAGTGATCCCTGTCTCTGAGAACCTCAGACAGAAGAGCTTATGAGACAGGATTGCAAGGGCAGAGTCATCTTAGCTGAGTGGTCCCACAACCCTAAGTTTCAAGGAAGCTATCAGCATTTTTAATGATGTGGCTTTCATTCACTCCATAAATAACTCTTCCTAACTTAATAAACTCAGCAGAGAGTTGCTATGAGTTGAAATTGACTTGATGGCAGTGGGCAGAAAATCACAACACAAACCAGTCAGGAGTCCTCACAAAAGATACTTTCTTGTGACTAAATATACTTACCCTAAATTATTATTTTTGAGATATTGAAATAATCTGAGTTACTTTCAAACTTTAACCTGCATCAACAACTCCTTGTTAAAGATAAAAAAACCAAACAGTTAAATTACTTGAAAATCAAACACTATTTTTAGCAAGTCAGAGCTACTTAAGTCTAAAAATAATTTTGCTTAAATCGTTCAGAGTGAGCCAGGAGAGAAATGAAGTGTTCACTGTTTTTGTGCTCGCTTCTGTTACATACTGAATTGTGCTCCCCATTATGTTTTTAAAAAATTCTACCCTTTACACCAGTGCTTAAGGAATATGGGTGATACACTGGTTAACTGAAAGGTGAGCAGTTTGAACCCACCAGCTGCTTCAAGGGAGAATGATGAGGTTGTTTCCATAAAGATTCACAGACTCAGAAGCCCTTAGGAACTGTTCCATACAGCCCTGATGAACCAGAATCATGGGCAGTGGTTTCTTTACACCTGTGGTTTTAATCTTATTTGGGAATGGCAGCTTTGAATGTTAGTGAGGCAGTAGTGGAGTAAACATGAGAAGCTGAGTAGAAAGGGGAAGAGAGAAATCAAATGAAGATCGCTGCCAGAGAAAAGACAAGTGCCTTTCTCCAGAGCCTGAAGGAAGCCTGCAGAGACAGCCTTCTCTTAGAGAATCTGAACTCCCAGCCATCTCTACTAGGGGAAGACACTCCTGTTTGCAAAGCCATCCCTCTCCAGTATTTCTGTCAGAGTGGTACCAGCTCACTAAGGGATCTTAGATGAGCTTTGTTTCTACAGCTTATATGGGTGGGTGATCTCCAAGAAGGTTGCTGCCCAAGCAGAACGAAGTGTACGCCGGCAGTGAACTCCCTGCTCACCCTCACCCCTCCTTCCGGTGCTCCTCAAACAGCCCATTCACGCTGGTCAGGAATGGAAAACCTGACCTTCTGCTTGTTTTTCTTGTCCCTCACAGTTCATGGAATTTAGAGGCCGACCTCATGGCAGCCGCTATGGAATCCTTGGTTATTTAAAAAAAAAAAAAAGAAGAGAGAGAGAGAGTGCAAAAGTCTTTACTGTGATTATGCAAGCTGCCAAATGAGTATCTTGAAATAGAAAATGAAAACAACTTTTATGTTAAAAAATCTCCAGTAGTTTAATATGAAATATACCAACTGTTATTTGATGTTTACAATGTCTCACACCTTTATTGACTCGTGGCTTTTGGAGCCCACTTCTCCATGAGTTAAATTTAAGAAATAAAAATTAGGAGAGGAAAGAGAGGGGGTGGAGAAAGCACTGTGGAGCCTAATGGAGCAGGTCTAATCATCTAATTACACAACGAGAGAATCGACCTGTGGATTCCAGAAAGCCACATCACCAAGCCTCAGGGATCAATCACTTCCTTCTTGTCCTTAAAGACTTTGAGTCAACATTTTGGGAAAGAACTCATAGCATGTGACTCAGTCTGAATAAATGATAATCTTTGATGGATCTAGATTATTAAATGAGGCACTTCAATGTCATGATCTCAACGTGCCTAAACGGCAGGCCTACAACCAGTTTCCCCTCAATTCTCACACATAACAGCTAAAAGTGGCATCACTCCACATTTAGGGAACAAGAAGGTGTAACATTTTTGACAGTAATGTATAAAGTTGTGCACTGAACCCGGAAAGAGGGCTGACTGAAAATACTAAATGTAAAAAATGAAGAGTATAAATGTAGAATGTTTTGGTTTGAAATGCCTGTAAGTAATTTTAATATATTTTTCTACTATATTTCTAATATTTTAAAACTGAGAGCATACATTTATTAGCATGGACCACTAATATCTCCAAGCAGCACAGAACACTAAGTGCAGATGTAACAATTTTTTCTTCTTTATCTTTGATAATCAAATATTACTTTTTTCTGGGGGGCACAGAGCAATGACCGAGTTCCACACCACTCTACGTCTCACTACAGGTGGAGTCATACGGTGACCTGCTCACGGTTAGACTGCTGGCATAAAGTGAACCCAAAAAATTCAAAGAAAAGGATTTAACCGTTCTGATCCTTTTCCAGACATCAAATGTGACCAGGGGAAGAGAGGATGGAAGGAGCTGCAAGTGACACAGACAGACAAGTATGTACCCTAGAGGTGTCACCAGCACTGACTCACTGCAGAGGCAGATTAGTAAGCAAGAACTATGACCAAATTTGAAAGGTTTAGAAGCCAGCATTTAAACAGCTCTCAGAGGCTGTCTTCCTGGATGTGGTGGGATGTGCTCTCCTTTGGGAAGCATCAGTATTGTGTACATAATCAGTGTAACAATGCATTTAATAAACAGTCCTCTAGAAGCCTACTGTCAGACTTAATCCACTACAGACTTTCAGTTCCAACTACTGTTTTGCATGGGCAGAATAATTATTCAATTACAAATGGTGATTTAGCTCTTCTAATTCTTGTCAAGCAGAACAAACAGAAGTCACATAATGAAATTATGAAGGAATCTAAAGTTCTTTCTTTGCCTGAGATGATGCTAAAAGTGCCAAGTAACACTAGAATGTGGTAAGAAAAGAATGAAAGTTGGAATCTAGCACAGCCACTGATAGATTAAAGTGCATGTAACATCAAGCTAAGAGGAGTGAATACGCTGTCAAAAAAGGATCATAGAAGAAATAAAGGCAGAAGAGGTGATAGGAAGCAAAAATAAATATTCAAAAGGCAATGACTGATAGGATTTAAAAACCAAATAGATTTTGCATATAAGAGTTACATTTTAAAGATACAGAAAGAGGGAAAAAGGATGGAAAAAAGATACAGCCAAAAACAAAGAGCTGATGTAAATATATTAACTTTAAAGATGACAAAATAGTCAAAGTAGACAAGGAGAATAGGAGGATTATTAGAAAAGGTTCAATTCCTTTAAATGATACAACTCCTTGTATGATTAACATGGTTTTAACATATTTAATCAAAAACCGAACCTTGAGGAACAGATACTGAAACCATAAGGAGTATGCTCTTTAACCACAATGCAATTAAGCTAGAAATCATTAACAGGA